TAGACGTAGTCTCTTCATTCTATAACTCCACACGCCATGACTTTTTATTTAATGCATTTTAACGGCTGTAATCGTTGTAAACATAAAACCGGAAGTGCGTCACTGTTGATATCCGGAGACTTCTTTCCGTAAAGCTTTTCAGAATAAACTTTAGCAACAACGTTAACCACAAGCCAATGCTACCCGGAAATGTTTTCAGAATAAAACAGTTTTAAGCTTACGGTATGTTTGAACTAAATTACGTCATTAAACATTGATTTTAATTTCTTACAACAGCCAGAGAGTATCCATCTCTTAATTGTGCTCTCAAAGTGCACCAGATTGATGCTTTTAACTTCAATATTTAAAAAAAAATCTTCCCGGGGGAGCATGCCCCCGGACTCCCCTAGAGGAGGTGAGGACCCCCCTAGAGGATGTTAGGTCCACGGTGTTTACATGCTTATTTATACAATATGTGTGCTTATGCTAACATCATAAGACAAAAGTTGGTTCCGTGTTGTGTGTAGTGAGAACGCACTAGAGTGAGGGGGGCCCCCAAGCCAAAGCTCGCTTAGGACCCCCAAAAGTCTAGGGCCGGCCCTGGGTACAAGTCCGGACTGCGGAGGTTTGTTGATGAAATCATGTCGTCTTCTTCTGACGACATGGCCAACAGTGTGTGAATGTTTAGCTTCCTAGAGCGGCACGGCTGTGTGAAAGGGTGAGTGATGACATGTTGAGCGGTTTGTGGGGTCGTAAAGACTGGGTAAAGCACTAAGTATACACTGTATAGTCCATTTAGCATATGGCAGGGGATAAAGTATCTAGACTTATGGCTGTAAACTAGGGTGCAGTGTCAAACCCTGAACTGCACACATGCTATCAGGTTACACTGAAGCTTGCCATGTGAAAAGAGGCTAACTTTACATTATAGCATGTAAAAACTCCACACTGACCACAGTATGAGGTCTAAAACCACCAGCAGGGACATTCCACAGGCCATAAGACTGTTAAACACCTGAACATCCATCTGTTTGCAACTTACAAATTAATATATCATATTCCAATTACTTGTAGACTCTCCTTGCACCATTTCTATTCAATTCAAAGGAGCCTGTGACCTAATCTTTTCATTGACATATCTACACTGTAGCTATGTACAAATGACAATAAAAGCCTTATTTCCCCTTTGCAACCTGAAGAGTAAAGGGTCAATTCCGTCAGAAAGCAATGACTGTAAGTGTAAGTTTAAGCCTTACACTTACACTGTAAGGATTAGTAACATGTATTGTGTTTATGTGATGACATTTGGAGATGTTTAAACGGTTTAAACACAATGAGAAAATGCGTTAGCGTTAGCATACATGCTAGCGTTAGCCATACTAGCCTGTACACATGCTTATTGCACAGCTGAGCTAGCATTAGCATTATTTACCTTGTTTACACTTAGCGGTCCTATGTGTTAATCTGTGTATGTTACACTTGCATGTATGAAATCATTAAGTGCCTTGTAACTTCTTTTTGTATCGTTTCATTCCGTTTGAATGTCAGTGGACTGCAATAAAGGAGCATGGCTGCTCATTCCCTGGCTCTCAAAAGAGTTTGGCTGGCTGTTTAATCTATGTTCACACTGAGACAGGACAACACATAGAGAGAACAGTACACCTATTGTGTAAGAACATACAACAAGGTCACACAGTATGATCACAAATAGGCCTACTTACAATCTGTTAAAAATCTGTTTTTATTAAAAAGTAGCCTACAGGCTGCATTATTATGTGTTCTCAGCCTTGGAGAAACTTGACATGTTTTGGTATGTGTCTGAACCAATCTTTAGTGGTATATTAATAAAACAGATATTTCAACGTGTGCCTACTTTGTGCATATACTGTTGAGGTTAATTTCAGTAGTTGTGTGATGTATTTACGTGTATTAAGTGTGAAGAGGAGGCAACTTTAGAATAGGGAACCTGTTCAGGTCAATTACAGAAAAACAACACAGCCGTTAGCTGTTAGCACTCAGAGCTCACAGCTCCTTATATATGTTCAGAAACTCGACAAAAGTTAAACAAGTACACACCACAGACTGCCTGTGTCATGGTGAATACAGTCGCTGCTTTATTTATGTCTGTATAGGCCGTTGTTGTGAGTGTGGACGGTCGGAGCATATACTGCGTTAGCTTAGCCAATCTCCATCTAGAAAAACACGCATTTTAAAAGGTTTTTCGCCTGTCGTCTGTCTGCAGACTTGACAAAGCATTAATTCATGGTTTTTACTAACCGGTATCAGTATGTTGTTACTTCGGCATCATTTTGAAACGTGTATTACAATTAAATCACGGTCAAATATGTCCATCTTGTTGTAGTTGTAGCCCCCTTGCCAGCGATCCTCTCTCTAGTTTAGCATACTCAGCCCGACTCAGCCCTGTTTGTTGGCCCCGATAGAACCACAATTTTGTCGGGCCAGAAAAGAGGTGAAAAAGTGGCGCCGGGCCGGGCCGTAACTAGGCCTAGTGGAAGCGCAACCAAAAAGAGGCACGGCACGACACGGCACGCTTAAAGCGAGCTCCGCGCTGTAGTGGAAATGCGCCATTATTCAAACTACTAGCTCAGGGGTGTCAAACTCAAGGCCCGCGGGCCAAATCCGGCCCGCGACTTTATTTAGTGTGGCCCCACAAGAGCTTGCAAAGAATATAATATGTTTATTATACGGTTACATGCCGCTTTACAGAAGCACATTACCCATAAACTACATGTCCCACAATGCATCTCAAATTAGACTTTTATTCTCGGAATTTGACTTTTTTTCTTCAAAATATTACTTTTCTTTCAAAATGTCACTTATTTTTTTTAGTTTTTTCAGAATTTGGCTTTTCTTTTTAAATCATTTTGGGACATACGCACTGAAGAGACTTGCAATTATTTCCCCTTCTGCTTTCAGACGTAGTTAATTATGAAGTTATTACCCTATCTGATAATAATCCAATGCAGAGGCAATCATGTAACATAATACATTATTTTATATATATTAAATATTTATATATGTATATTTATATAGTCTTGAAGTTACAACCGGCCCTTTGAGTGCAACCATGATGCTGATGTGGCCCGTGATGAAATTGAGTTTGACACCCCTGTACTAGCTTATTGGTTATGAACAAGACTTCACTTTAAAATAGGGAACATGTTCTTAGAAATACCTAATTTGTTATTTAGACACAATTAACACTTAAAGTTTCATGTCTTGTTACATAAGAGATCATATTTGTTAAGTGTTATTATGGGAGAATAACTATTCTTGTGGTAATACTGCCTTATTAGGCCCATATTAAGACCAAAACTCATGTACAACTTCCTTACTTGCAATAATTAAGCACTAATTAGAGGGTTATTGAGGAAAAGCTATCAACTAATGGCTTATTACTTGTAGAATATAGTCATGCAAAATAAGGTATTAATACATGTTTTATGACTAAGAGCAAATATACTTCTAATATGCATGTTAATTAACTAGTTGATGGTCAATTTGTGTACCTTAATATAAAGTGTTACCCAAATTAATATATCATATTCCAATTACTGTACTCTCCTTGGACCATTTCTATTCAATTCAAAGGAGCCTGTGACCTAATCTTTTCATTGACATATCTACACTGTAGCTATGTACAAATGACAATAAAAGCCTTGAATCTGAACAGCTCAGATACTCCACACACTCAAATTGAGCAAAGCATAGCACATGACAAACAAAACAGATTTCCACTTGTTGCAGTTCATAATGTTGTAATAACAGGAAAAAGGCAGTGTCCATTCTTTGTCAAACATTTATTTGAAAATTCTTCAAATACAAATTCATGTCAATGTAGTGAACAGTTTAGATCAGGGGTAGCCAACAAGGTGCCCGCAGGGGCACCGTGAGTCGACCGTGGGGTATGTTCTAAAAATAGCTCGCCAAACAAATCCAAAATGTATAAAATACACTAAACAAAAAAGGAAATGTAATTAAAATAATCTACCCTATGCATAAACGAAAACCTAAAACATAGCAAACTCTATCTACTTACTACAACTCTATATCTATCTAACACCCCCACAATGAATATCGACCAATCACGTTCTTGCTTGATTTGCGGGACCAGCGTTGCAGTCAGGAAGAAAAGCAATGTGGCACCTCCCCGCTGATTTTCCTTCTGGCAGAATCTACACCACACATCAGCCCCATTGAACAGCCTATCATGCAGCCTATACAACACATGAGGGGCAGAGTAACTCTGTGTGTTGTGACTTGCATATCTATTTATTGCACTTGACGCACACACACGGCGTAATTTCCACCTGGGACGGGGGGGAAATGTCCCCCGCTCTTTTCGAAATCCCGTTTGTGTCCCCCCACTTTACAAATATGTATATTATTATTTTTTAACGCAAGCCGTCATGGCCACGGAGGAGCACACAGCCTCTGTGAGCGAGCGAGAGAGCTAGGGAGGGAGGGAGAGAGAGGGGGGGAGAGAGAGAGCACACCTTTATCTATTCAATATAGATAAAGTAAGAAATCATCCCAATGTGTATAGGACAGTAAAAAAAACATAAAACAGTTTGAAAGGAGAGTGATTAGTAAAATAAGCATAAATAAAAAGAAAGAATGCAGACTAGGTAACATAAGATAAGAATAAACTAGTTTAAATGATTTGTTATTGGTTGTGATCATATTCTAAAGATGTTTGGATTATTGAAAAGTATACAGCTCTCTTTCATCTGAGTGTTGAGAGCTGTTTCCATAAATTCATCTTGTGCTCAAAGTGCTCCAGATTGATGCTTTTCACTTCAACATTTAAAAAGAATCTTCCCGGGGGTGCATGCCCCTAGAGGAGGTGAGGACCCCCCCGAGAGGAGGTGAGGTCCACCCCCAAAATAAAGCAGGTTAAAATAATTAAATTGCATACATGTTCTTTTAGTAAACACTGAAAACGGGTCCCACAGACCCAAAGAGCACACACAGGTTAAAGGTAAGCATATCATAATGTTAAAATGTGCTAAATATATACACTGCAAAAAACAAAAACAAAAAAAAGGGGTAAAAGTAGCCCCCGACTTGTTTTATTTTTTTAAAGTGGCCCTCACCCTTGTACAACAAGACGGAGGACAGGAGAGTCCGAGTTTCACTCCCAAGTGACTCCATGCCCCTGCAGAGCCCAGTAGAACTGTTCCACCCGGCTTTTCATGAGTCTGCACGTCCTCCAGATCCAGGTCCTTCAGTCACACCTGTCGGAGCGAAACAGTTAGTGACCTGTGTTTGGCTGCCACACATTCTCAACAGGAGCTGAACAGTCCGAGTGTCTCAGTGCGCTGCGAGTAAACTTCAGTTTGCATCAGTTGAACCAAAATACTGAATCATCATAGACCATCTCAGACCAAAGCTCTTCCAAGTCCCATTTAGATCCATTAAGCCAAGGTCATACAATTCCAAGATCACATGGTCCATTTATGATGAGCCAGTGCAGTCCCAGATGTAACCCTTTATAATAAAGCCCAGCAACAATACTGCATTATTACACTCACCCTCATTACAACTCCAGCCTTGGAGTCAGCATCCAGGTTTGTGGTTGAGATGTGGATATGTCCCAGCAACTCCTTCCATCAGTGTGTGGACGAGCTGCAAGGCAACGAGACATCAGTACCAGCACATGGCAAAACAACGAGACGTTTAGAGAACACACCTGATGATGTTAAGCCCATCTACTGCAATCACACCTCAAACGGGTCAGTAGAGGAATTTTACCAGCTGTTATGATTCTTTGAAGTCTACATGATAAGCAGTACGTGGGTTTAACATACTGGTGTGGTTATGTGGTCAGTGCACTGTGAAGACATCTTCATCTTTTGTCAGAGACTCTAGTCTATGAAATCATCATCCCACATAACAGAAGATTAAAGGAAACATGATTTAATAGCACACTTACCTAAGAGAGAGTCTCCAACATCTTGAGAAACCTGGTGATGAGATCAGAGAAAAGTATTAGAACATGTTCTAATGTTTGCACTTTGTTTACAGTTCATATTGGGCATACTCAGTGCACTGTGAAGAAATCTTCATGATTTATCAGAGACTCTAGTCTAGTTGATCATCATTGCAGCCTTTTGGTTCTCATTGCACACCATTGTGCTGCATCCCAACCCAACACTCACCATGTGCTCCTGGCTGCAGACTCCCCCCCCCCTCAGGTAGGACTCAGGTAGGGGGTCAAATGATCTTTCAGAGCATCCACCTTTAGGCAGTGTGATCCTAAAACAGCAGGGAGAGTCATTTCAATCAAAAATGTAATTTCTCAGATTCCTATAAAAAAGGCATACACACTTTATAAAGCTACACAAGTATACAGATACCCAGACGTTTGCACAACACAAATGTGCCCATCTTTCTGTTTTTTTTAAAGAGTTGAAGAGGAGATTTAATAATAATTTAAATAATCTAAACCCCCTTTTAAAATGCATTTGAACATTACTTAGGCTTTCAATTGAGATCATTTCAAAATAGCCTCTATGCATTTTGAAAGTCACATTTAAATGTGGTGGTGGGCTTGCACTGAGGCCTAACGCCCTGTAGAGGGAGCTAGTGCCGTAAACCTAGTAGAAGTTACAAGCAATTACACGGTTTCACTTTATTTATAATACATGTATATTAAACAATACACGCTTCTATAAAATAGGGATTACGGAACATTATATCATTTGTTCAAATCCCTATGGTCAAATTAACACTCACTTTATTCAACCATCTTTTAACGTGGATCTCCTCGAGTTCCTTGGGCACTTGGTGTTCTGCGTAGTGAACTCCGCGCTGGGACTCATTGTAGATCTAAAGAAAGAACAATGAGCACATGTTGCAGTCAGCTCTCCCTCCATTACAGTTACCTTTCTTTTTCTAAACATAGTGATGATATTAATTAACTACTGCCATGTTCAGACGTTTAGTCAAAATGAAGGGCACAACAAAATGATTAGACATACAATCTTAACATTGAACGACAGGGGAAGGAGTGTATTCCGCCAATTAGTTGTGAGTCAAGGACTTGAGCCAAGCTACAGTGGAGGGCCGAAAGCGTCTCTACCAAGGAACATTCAGTCCCGCTCCATCACTGCAGATGGGAGGAGAGGGAACCCTGGACATTACAGTGACCATGTGCTCGGCATGGAAAAACTTCTGCACACGCTGCTGGTCGCATCTCGCCGACTGACTACTACGTTTATATATTTATGACATAAGCCTTAAACACACACGCATAACCAGACGGAATCAGATTTACCTACCCTTGTTTCCTCAGTTCTGAGCAAAAATCCGGTTAGCTGGACGTTCACATCCAACAGAGAGCAGCCAGAGAGACTGAAAAATGTCCGGCCGTAGTTTATATAGGCGGGTCCTGGTCCTCCACAGCACCCTCGTGCCTTTGGTGTCCTGAGTATGCCTGTTAATAAATACCCTGAATTAAATGTACATTCCAAAAAAGAGAGAAAGTAAAAGAACAACTTTTAGCACAGTCAGTACTATTCAATAATTACTATGGACATAAATGTTTTCCTTTTTTGGGTTACTGAGATTATCTTGAAGACATCTTAAAGTACACATTGTTTCATTTCAAAGTTTGGGTTCATCTAACGTTAAATGTAATGTAAACACAGATGCCTGTATCTCAGGTTTTAAATAGAGTTTAATGAAGCAAAGGGGACGTAAACATTTCAAATACACCTTTAATAGTATTTTCAGTAATTTAAACATTAAGGACATTGTAATGATATCATTTATTTAAACCCCTACGGTCAAATTAACACTCACTTTGTTCAACCATCTTTTAACTTGGTTCTCCTCGAGTTCCTTGGGCACTTGGTGTTCTGCGTAGTGAACTACACGCTGGGACTCATTGTAGATCTAAAGAACAAGGAGCACATGTTGCAGTCAGGTCTCCCTCCATCACAGTAACCAATGGCTGCCACACATTCTCAACAGGAGCTGAACAGTCCGAGTGTCTCAGTGCGCTGCGAGTAAACTTCAGTTTGCATCAGTTGAACCAAAATACTGAATCATCATAGACCATCTCAGACCAAAGCTCTTCCAAGTCCCATTTAGATCCATTAAGCCAAGGTCATACAATTCCAAGATCACATGGTCCATTTATGATGAGCCAGTGCAGTCCCAGATGTAACCCTTTATAATAAAGCCCAGCAACAATACTGCATTATTACACTCACCCTCATTATAACTCCAGCCTTGGAGTCAGCATCCAGGTTTGTGGTTGAGATGTGGATATGTCCCAGCAACTCCTTCCATCAGTGTGTGGACGAGCTGCAAGGCAACGAGACATCAGTACCAGCACATGGCAAAACAACGAGACGTTTAGAGAACACACCTGATGATGTTAAGCCCATCTACTGCAATCACACCTCAAACGGGTCAGTAGAGGAATTTTACCAGCTGTTATGATTCTTTGAAGTCTACATGATAAGCAGTACGTGGGTTTAACATACTGGTGTGGTTATGTGGTCAGTGCACTGTGAAGACATCTTCATCTTTTGTCAGAGACTCTAGTCTATGAAATCATCATCCCACATAACAGAAGATTAAAGGAAACATGATTTAATAGCACACTTACCTAAGAGAGAGTCTCCAACATCTTGAGAAACCTGGTGATGAGATCAGAGAAAAGTATTAGAACATGTTCTAATGTTTGCACTTTGTTTACAGTTCATATTGGGCATACTCAGTGCACTGTGAAGAAATCTTCATGATTTATCAGAGACTCTAGTCTAGTTGATCATCATTGCAGCCTTTTGGTTCTCATTGCACACCATTGTGCTGCATCTCAACCCAACACTCACCATGTGCTCATGGCTGCAGGTCTCCCGCCATTACAGTTGCCATGTGCTCGGCATGAAGAGCTTCTGCACGCGCTGCTAGTCTCATCTCGCCGATTGATACTACAAAATCCTTTATATACAGTTTGTTACATAAGCCTTAAAAGCACAAGGTCATCAGTGTGCCTTTGGATGAACGAAATGTACTTTAGCTCTCTAGCTATTTTATTCACGCAATTTAAACCAAAGTATAGCCTCTAGCTGTATGTATTATAAATGATTGGGCTTCTTGTCGGACGTCCACTGACTAACGTAGAGCGTTCACACGGGATCTGCGGGTCATATGATGTCCTGTGAGGAACAGAAACACAAGCAGCCCGCTGGACTCACATCTCTAGATACCTCATTACTCCTCCGGCTCCGATGCTCCGGTACAAGTCCGGACTGCGGAGGTTTGTTGATAAAATCATGTCGTCTTCTTCTGTTTGTTTAATGCAGGCTACGCAGTTATGTAGCGCCCCCACCGCCAGTAAATGGAAGTACTTCAAACAAAATTCCCGAGGTCAACTCAATGGCTGGTACGGCCATGAATAACCATGACATTTCAGTAGTGTTGTTGGTACAAGTGTGTGTGTGTGTGACGTCTATCACTCCATGATGTCCCTCAGGTTACATGTTGCTTCATGTTGGGCAGCAGTATTTGCATTGTCCTCTCCTAGGAGTATTTTTAATTTTAAGGTCATTTAACTATTTGCAACCTGGTACAGTTACATTTGTCATAAATGATCCTCCTATCATTATGTGTTTTGCATTATAGTTCGAAGTGACCGTATATTGCCATTTTATTTTAAATTTGGATTATAACAGATGTTAATTTCTTTAATTTCCCAGGATAAGGGCACAGTAAAGACCTCATTTCATTTCAAACCTTTATTTATCCAGATTGTCACAGTAAAGACCTGCACACAAGTTGCTATATTTACTGCTTTGTCATGCACTTAGAATGATAAAAGTAATACCTGATGAAATATAGAGAAATCTGAATCCAAAACAGGGATTTAACAAACATCCTAGTTATTTACCCTTTAGGGTAGGCTAATGATAAAGATTTGGTTGCACTTTTATGCATTAGAGATGAAAAATCCATGTACCTTTGTCAGAGGTCTTTAGTTGACTTTGAGAAAAGTGCTCAGTCGCCCCAACATGTGAGCGACTGTGGCTGAGAGGGAGTGCGGGCATCTTTCAACCAGAAGGCTGTTGGTTCGATCCCAGCCAATGCAGCCAAGGGCACGGTACTTAACCTTGAGTTGCTCACGGCATGGCCAATAGTGTGTAAATGTTTAGCTTCCTAGAGCGGCACGGCTGTGTGAAAGGGTGAATGATGACATGTAGAGCGCTTTGTGGGGTCGTAAAGACTGGGTAAAGCACTGTATAAGTATACACTGTATAGTCCATTTAGCATGTGGCAGGGGAGAAAGTATCTAGACTTATGGCTGTAAGCTAGGGTGCAGTCTCAAACTCTGAACTGCACACATGCTATCAGGTTACACTGAAGCTTGCCATGTGGCTAACTTTACATTATAGCATGTAAAAACTCCACACTGACCACAGTATGAGGTCTAAAACCACCAGACCCAGGGACAGTTTCATTCCACAGGCCATAAGACTGTTAAACACCTGAACATCCATCTGTTTGCAACTTACAAATTAAGGTAACACTTTTATATTAAGGTACACAAATTAACCATCAACTAGTTGTTAATTAACATGCATATTAGCTCTTTATTAGTCATTATAAAACACGTATTAATACCTTATTCTGCATGACCATATTCTACAAGTAATAAGCCATTAGTTGAGAGTTTTTCCTCAATAACCCTCTAATTAGTGCTTATTTATTGCAAGTAAGGAAGTTGTTGTACATGAGTTTTGGTCTTAATATGCTCTGCTCAATATGGGCCTAATAAGGCAGTAGTACCACAAGAATAGTAATTCTACCATAATAACACTTAACAAATATGATCTATTCTTATGTAACAAGACATGAAACTATAAGTGTTAATTGTGTCTAAATAATTCAAAATGAGGTATTTATATCTAAGAATATGTTTTGGGGTATTGACAGTTCAGCTACCAATAGCAAGGTGATATTGACCTGTATGTTTCATATATGCACATTTATATATTTGAAAAATTTGTGCTGAAGGTTAGACAGGAAACCGGGTACAGGAAGTAGGAGAAAGTGAACTGAATAGCATGGCAGTAGACATCCATGAGTAGACTGCTACTAATTTCCCCTTTGCAACCTGAAGAGTAAAGGGTCAATTCCGTCAGAAAGCAATGACTGTAAGTGTAAGCCTTACACTTACACTGTAAGGATTAGTAACATGTATTGTGTTTATGTAATAACATTTGGAGATGTTTAAACGGTTTAAACACAATGAGAAAATGCGGTAGCGTTAGCCATACTAGCCTGTACACATGCTTATTGCACAGCTAGCATTAGCTATATTTACCTTGTTTACACTTAGCGGTCCTATGTGTTAATCTGTGTATGTTACACTTGCGTATGAGATCATTAAGTGCCTTGTAACTTCTTTTTGTATAGTTTCACTCCGTTTGAATGTCAGTGGACTGCAAATAAGTCAATAAAGGAACATGGCTGCTCATTCCCTGGCTCTCAAAAGAGTTTGGCTGGCTGTTTAATCTATGTTCACACTGAGACAGTACAACACATAGAGAGAACAGTACACTTATTGTGTAAGAACATACAAGGTCACACAGTATGATCAAATACATACAATCTGTTAAAAAAAATCTGTTTTTATTTAAAAGTACAGGCTGCATATGTGTTCTCAGCCTTCGAGAAACTTGACATGTTTTGGTATGTGTCTGAACCTCTTAGTGGTTCATTAATAAAAACAGATATTTCAATGTGGGCCTACTTTGTTCATGTACTGTTGAGGTTAATTTCAGTAGTTGTGTGCTATAATGTATTTACAAAGTGTGAAGAGGCAACTTTAGAATAGGGAACCTGTTCAGGTCAATTAGATTCAAACTACTAGCTTATTGGTTATGAACAAGACTTCACTTTAAAATAGGGAACATGTTCTTAGATATAAATACCTAATTTTGAATTATTTAGACACAATTAAGAATAGATCATATTTAAGTGTTATTATGGGAGAATAACTATTCTTGTGGTACTGCCTTATTAGGCCCATATTGAGCAGAGCATATTAAGACCAAAACTCATGTACAACAACTTCCTTACAATAATTAAGCACTAATTAGAGGGTTATTGAGGAAAAGCTCTCAACTAATGGCTTATTAGTTGTAGAATATAGTCATGCAGAAGGTATTAATACATGTTTTATGACTAAGAGCAAATATACTTCTAATATGCATGTTAATTAACTAGTTGATGGTCAATTTGTGTACCTTAATATAAAGTGTTACCCAAATGAATATATCATATTCCAATATATCATATTCCAATTACTGTACTCTCCTTGGACCATTTCTATTCAATTCAAAGGAGCCTGTGACCTAATCTTTTCATTGACATATCTACACTGTAGCTATGTACAAATGACAATAAAAGCCTTGAATCTGAACAGCTCAGATACTCCACACACTCAAATTGAGCAAAGCATAGCACATGACAAACAAAACAGATTTCCACTTGTTGCAGTTCATAATGTTGTAATAACAGGAAAAAGGCAGTGTCCATTCTGTCAAACATTTATTTGAAAATTCTTCAAATACAAATTCATGTCAATGTAGTTAACAGTTTAGATGAATAGCCTTGTACAACAAGACGGAGGACAGGAGAGTCCGAGTTTCACTCCCAAGTGACTCCATGCCCCTGCAGAGCCCAGTAGAACTGTTCCACCCGGCTTTTCATGAGTCTGCACGTCCTCCAGATCCAGGTCCTTCAGTCACACCTGTCGGAGCGAAACAGTTAGTGACCTGTGTTTGGCTGCCACACATTCTCAACAGGAGCTGAACCGTCCGAGTGTCTCAGTGCGCTGCGAGTAAACTTCAGTTTGCATCAGTTGAACCAAAATACTGAATCATCATAGACCATCTCAGACCAAAGCTCTTCCAAGTCCCATTTAGATCCATTAAGGCAGAGTCATATTTACTGCACTGGTCCATTTATGATGAGGCAGTGCAGTCCTAGATTTAACAATTTTTTAATAAAGCCCAGCAACAATACTGCATTATTACACTCACCCTCATTATAACTCCAGCCTTGGAGTCAGCATCCAGGTTTGTGTGGTTGCAGATGTGGCGTAGTGAACTACACGCTGGGACTCGTTGTAGATCTAAAGAACAAGGAGCACATGTTGCAGTCAGGTCTCCCTCCATCACAGTAACCAATGGCTGCCACACATTCTCAACAGGAGCTGAACCGTCCGAGTGTCTCAGTGCGCTGCGAGTAAACTTCAGTTTGCATCAGTTGAACCAAAATACTGAATCATCATAGACCATCTCAGACCAAAGCTCTTCCAAGTCCCATTTAGATCCATTAAGCCAAGGTCATACAATTCCAAGATCACATGGTCCATTTATGATGAGCCAGTGCAGTCCCAGATGTAACCCTTTATAATAAAGCCCAGCAACAATACTGCATTATTACACTCACCCTCATTACAACTCCAGCCTTGGAGTCAGCATCCAGGTTTGTGGTTGAGATGTGGATATGTCCCAGCAACTCCTTCCATCAGTGTGTGGACGAGCTGCAAGGCAACGAGACATCAGTACCAGCACATGGCAAAACAACGAGACGTTTAGAGAACACACCTGATGATGTTAAGCCCATCTACTGCAATCACACCTCAAACGGGTCAGTAGAGGAATTTTACCAGCTGTTATGATTCTTTGAAGTCTACATGATAAGCAGTACGTGGGTTTAACATACTGGTGTGGTTATGTGGTCAGTGCACTGTGAAGACATCTTCATCTTTTGTCAGAGACTCTAGTCTATGAAATCATCATCCCACATAACAGAAGATTAAAGGAAACATGATTTAATAGCACACTTACCTAAGAGAGAGTCTCCAACATCTTGAGAAACCTGGTGATGAGATCAGAGAAAAGTATTAGAACATGTTCTAATGTTTGCACTTTGTTTACAGTTCATATTGGGCATACTCAGTGCACTGTGAAGAAATCTTCATGATTTATCAGAGACTCTAGTCTAGTTGATCATCATTGCAGCCTTTTGGTTCTCATTGCCCACCATTGTGCTGCATCCCAACCCAACACTCACCATGTGCTCCTGGCTGCAGACTCTTCTTCTCCCCCCCCCCCCCATCTCAGGTAGGACTCAGGTAGGGGGTCAAATGATCTTTCAGAGCATCCACCTTTAGGCAGTGTGATCCTGAAACAGCAGGGAGAGTCATTTCAATCAAATGTAATTTCTCAGATTCCTATAAAAAAGGCATACACACTTTATAAAGCTACACAAGTATACAGATACCCAGACGTTTGCACAACACAAATGTGCCCATCTTTCTGTTTTTTTTAAAGAGTTGAAGAGGAGATTTAATAATAATTTAAATAATCTAAACCCCCTTTTAAAATGCATTTGAACATTACTTAGGCTTTCAATTGAGATCATTTCAAAATAGCCTCTATGCATTTTGAAAGTCACATTTAAATGTGGTGGTGGGCTTGCACTGAGGCCTAACGCCCTGTAGAGGGAGCTAGTGCCGTAAACCTAGTAGAAGTTACAAGCAATTACACGGTTTCACTTTATTTATAATACATGTATATTAAACAATACACGCTTCTATAAAATAGGGATTACGGAACATTATATCATTTGTTCAAATCCCTATGGTCAAATTAACACTCACTTTATTCAACCATCTTTTAACGTGGATCTCCTCGAGTTCCTTGGGCACTTGGTGTTCTGCGTAGTGAACTCCGCGCTGGGACTCATTGTAGATCTAAAGAAAGAACAATGAGCACATGTTGCAGTCAGCTCTCCCTCCATTACAGTTACCTTTCTTTTTCTAAACATAGTGATGATATTAATTAACTACTGCCATGTTCAGACGTTTAGTCAAAATGAAGGGCACAACAAAATGATTAGACATACAATCTTAACATTGAACGACAGGGGAAGGAGTGTATTCCGCCAATTAGTTGTGAGTCAAGGACTTGAGCCAAGCTACAGTGGAGGGCCGAAAGCTTCTCTACCAAGGAACATTCAGTCCCGCTCCATCACTGCAGATGGGAGGAGAGGGAACCCTGGACATTACAGTGACCATGTGCTCGGCATGGAAAAACTTCTGCACACGCTGCTGGTCGCATCTCGCCGACTGACTACTACGTTTATATATTTATGACATAAGCCTTAAACACACACGCATAACCAGACGGAATCAGATTTACCTACCCTTGTTTCCTCAGTTCTGAGCAAAAATCCGGTTAGCTGGACGTTCACATCCAACAGAGAGCAGCCAGAGAGAGACTGAAAAATGTCCGGCCGTAGTTTATATAGGCGGGTCCTGGTCCTCCACAGCACCCTCGTGCCTTTGGTGTCCTGAGTATGCCTGTTAATAAATACCCTGAATTAAATGTACATTCCAAAAAAGAGAGAAAGTAAAAGAACAACTTTTAGCACAGTCAGTACTATTCAATAATTACTATGGACATAAATGTTTTCCTTTTTTGGGTTACTTAGATTATCTTGAAGACATCTTAAAGTACACATTGTTTCATTTCAAAGTTTGGGTTCATCTAACGTTAAATGGAGCCAATTGCAAAAACGTAAGCTCATACATAGCTGTACATATAAATATAATATCCGATAGAGTAACGTTACTAAGAAGCAAGACATATGTAAGTAGGACATTTAAATACAGGTTTGTGTGTACATAGGGATACATATTACTTTACTTAAACTCTAGATCAGGATCCATCTATTTAATCAGTTTTTAAGCGTGATTTATATTTGTACAGTTCAAATTGAGATACAAAAAGGGCTATTTTTGATCAATGACATACAAACTACAAGTCCCACCACCCATCGTCTCGCATTAAGGGGATGCCAGGTTCTCTCGGACTGCAAAGGAAAAGGGCGTTTAAAGCATGCGCCCTCTATGGGTTCTACAAATTATATCTGGCAACACAGTATCCACTCTCACTGTTGTCGTCACTGAGGTCAGGTAGACGGAGCGAAGATGGCGACCGCCTACGAGAGATACAATTTGTAAGTAGATGTAATATAGTTTTTCAAACGTCTATTCTTATTTCTGCGTCTGATAAAAGACAAGCAAGCGGCTCAGTTTATGGCTGGTGTAAAGCCGGAGCTGGGGTTCAGAGGCAGCCATAGCGCTAGGTCAGATGACACGGCGGCTGAAGTTCGCTGACAGGCTCGGATGGTAACGTTAGAACCCGGGGTTAGGTTCGAAGAGGAACCGGTGAGGCTTCATTCAACACTCATTCATTATGAAGGACATAGTCCCCCCTCGTTAATTTTCATAAAATAGTGGAGAGGGTTGTTGTTCAGTGCAAACTAACAGGGCGGCAGAAAGTTAGTTAACCTAGCTAGCAGCAGAAGGCGTTTCGGCTGCTCGTTCATTTTTAATCTGAATTTATTGTCTGTTGCATTCTGAGGTGGTTGTGTGATGGTTGTGTGATGTTTATGACACACATTTCTTTGTAACGTAAGGTTTTTTTTTCTCTCTCTCTAATGACATCATTCAACTGTCTGTGAACCAAACACTGAAACATGTTTTATTAAACGTTAGCTATTTAGGTGGAAGAAGTACACATGTTGCACTTGCGTTTGAGTAGAACTATCAGAGTGTACGAGTAAAAGTCGTGCATTCAAGATGTTACTCAAGTAAAAGTACAAAAGTGTTAGAATCAAAATATACTGTAATTTCCAAAAGTAGTCATTGTGCAGATTGGTCCATTTCAGAATAATATATATGATATGTTTTATAATGATTGATCATGAAAGTGTTCTCAAAGCTGGTAAAGGTGCAGCTAGTTTTAATGACTTTGTATACTGCAGGGTAGCTTCTGAATTTCTCTGCAAAGTAACTAAAGGTATTCAATAAATGTAGTGGAGTAAAACTACACAATTTACCTATCAATTGTAGTAGAGTAGAAGTACAAAGTAGCAAAAAAACTCCTCAAAATTGTAACAGTACTTGAGTAAATCTCTGTCGTTACTTTACACCGCTAAAGTTGACAGAACTGGTTGTACTTTTCCAGACACACCCTTGTTCAAACATGCCACCTTATTGTTCAGTGTCCTGCCCTGTCCAACCTGTCTGTCTCTACCCAGTGTTTCCTGCAAGTGTTCCCTACATAGGTTAGCTGCTTACGATAATTCCTCCTTCCACAATGAACACTTGAATAATAATAACAATTTGACATAATCTAAAGGTTTGCTTTGTCATATGCACTGCAGCTACAGTTTTAGAAGAATAATTAGAATTGGGAGGGATGAACCCCTCTTTAATGGTCACACATGCAGAGCACACAGCACACACAGTGAAATGTGTTCTCTGCTTTTAACCCATCCTAGTACCAGGAGTCTAGTACTAGGAGCAGTGGGCAGCTATTGTACAGCGCCCGGGGAGCAATGGGAGTGAGGGGGGAAGGGGGGTGTCCGGTGCCTTGCTCAAGGGCACCACGGCAGGGCAGGAGGTGAACTGGGACCTCTCCAAGTAGAAGTGTAGTGTAGTTTTGAAAAGGAAAGGAAAATCAAAAATGTCAGGCTTTTTCTAACAATTCAACCTACAGTATACTTAACAAATGTAACTAGTGCAATAGAATGTTTCAAGATGGTGCAAGTAAGGTGCAGCAATACAAATATATACATAAAAAATGAAACAAGATAAAACAGAATTTAAAATGAATAGAAATACTGTACAGTACAATTTAAAAACTGTATACTGCAATATCATGTGGATATGAGGAATATAAACAAATCAACAATGGACATGGTATATGTGACTGGTGACACTTCACAGCGCTCGGGTGTTCAGCACTCTTACAGCTCGTGGGATAAAAGTGTCTGGTGGTGTTGGTCTGGATGCTGCAGTTTGTCTGCTTCAGAAAGACCAGTTTATTGCTGGGGTGATGGGGATCTACATTGCTTAATATCCCTGTCAAAGTGCCATGAAATACCCATGATGACTTTATAAGTTTCCTAAGCCCAAATGTAGGCTTAAAATAAAGGAATGTTATGTCCAATCTATTCCTCCTAATCTTTTCTATGGCTCTAAATGAGACCATTTTCAAAGTAAGGTAAGAAACAGGGAAATAACTATCTTTTATTATTATATGATGATGCAATGCAGTGTTTGAAAATCAACACACACTTCCACATCTGTGATGTCATTCTTGGAGCAAAGAACCAGAGCAGGATACAATGCAGAGCTCTGAACTGACGTCAGACACTGAAGATTTATTGGAAGTTACGGCTGGAGACTTGGCAATAAATGGCTGAGACAAAGCGTCTGCCCATCCAACTCTCAACATAGCATGTTAAGTCCTATCACTATCTGAAGAAGAGAATGCTAACAACCTTGCTGTAGAAGGAGGTCATCGAGGTCATCGCTCAGTTTATTGTTATACAATACGCTGCCCAAGCTCCAAGGCCAAATGCCTGCTACCTGTACAGACAGAGAAACACCACCTAAGGCCAGGACAGAAGTGGAGAATGATTAGAAGGAGACTAGTTAAATAATTCTCTATCAACAACAATGCATCCAGGATGTTGACATGATGTAATACCTCACTCGAGAAAAGTTTGAAGTCTCTGCAGAAACTTTTTTATGTCGTACTGAAATGAATGGAAACCAGTACTTTCTTGGAACTTAATAAGAACCCATCCTAAAGACTAGAAGATTTCTGCTTCATTTGGAAGTCATTTAAAGTCCACATGATCTGTAGTAAATGTCCTAAACCATGCAAGGCATGTCCAGTGTTTCAGTAATACTACTTAGTGTTTGTGTAAAGCAGCCATGTTTTCTGTGGTCTATGATGGAAGGCCAACAATGGGCTGTTTGTGTGTTTGCGTCAGCAGCACTACAGCTCACATTCTCTTGCTGCAGGGATTTAAAGCTGTGTGTTACTCAAGCAGTCACTGTGACCTCTGGTCCCTTTAACACAATGAGTACTTTAGAGGGAAGCAAGTTTTTTTTGGGTCATTCAGGCTTTCTGTTTGTTTTTTTGACAGTAGAAACAGACAGGAACTTAGGGAATGAGTAAGAGGATACCATCACAAAAGGTGCCTTCCTTGAATTATACTGGGACTGTAGATGGTATGCATCTCAGACCACTTTGCAAAGAGATCATTGCTGGACTTTTCATAGGCTAGTGTGAGTTTAATATGTAATGTTTCCCTCTAGGAAAACCATATAGTTCAAGGAAATACTTCCAGAGCCAGTGGGAATCAAGGCTGCGTCCAATTTTCAAAAAACAGTATAACATTTTGATTTCATTCTACTTGACATTTTATAGAAACACCTTGCTTCCAATGAACCTTCCTCTGTTAGGATCCTTCCTTTAAAAACAATGCTTTTATTTGTAAACTGCTCTCAGTTCCCTGCTCCACACCATCTCAGCTGGACGGATGTGATGTTGGAGGACTGGCGGTTAATCCTGGTGTTAACAGCAGTCTCTAGGTCCTTAACATTACATCTATAGGTTGGTTTCTTTCTATTTCACAGCTCCCATGGCTTTGAGACTCCAGTTGTGCCCTGGTCACGGAGAGGAAGCATGTGGAGGGTCATTGCATTGCACTTCAGGAATAGTTTGGGAGTCATTTGTTGGCTATACAGATTGATTGTGTCTCAACCACTGCCATGTCTGTGGTTTAAATGATGACATGTCATTCCCCTCTGTGATTCCTGTCGGTCTATGCTGACTGTCCAATAACAGGAAAATGCCACATATGATCAACTTGTAGGAGCTTGAAATAGTCAGGGGTGTGCCCTTTATAAACAAAGGCTAGTGGTTAATAAAGCTGTACTAATGTCCTATCATACATGAGTCATAATATACATTTCCACAGCATTACTCCATGTCATACTCGCCAATATGCTACTGTCTTTTATATACAATTACTGTTTATTCACAAATTAATTCAACTCCACTTTGCAGTTCTTTTAGCACTGCAAAATAAACACCACTGTCCTGATGTTTTACTTTGTGTTGAGTGTCATTGGCAGTAGCTTGAAAGCAATTACAAAGGCAGTGAAACAACAATAAATGCAAACACTATTTTTTATTAAAAGAGAAACTCTTTTTTTTAGCATAACCTGCCTCTGATGTACTGATGGAATTACTGCTGTGGAAATGACCATTTATAGCATAAAAATGTATCATGACAAATGAAAAGGAAGGAAATAGGAAAACTACGAGCGAGTGTATTTGTAGAATGTTGGAAATAGGTAAAGACTACCAGGTTCCTTCGGTACTTGAGTTGAAAACATATAAACGTTAGAATTGACAATGCTATCCTCTTCTGTAAGACATTTCCTAGGACTTATTAATTGGTCTTTCATTTTATATTTTGCGATGCAGAAGAGTCATGCGTCTTTCATCGTTGGCCACATTAGCAGGTGGCATTTGTTTTGAAGCAGGAGAACATTAGCATCCTAAAGCTTTATCACACATTGTGATGCTGTTGAACCTGAATAAACCTCTGAAAGCTGTACTATCAACCATTGGGTAAAACCTGAACTTTCTGCCCTTCTCTCCCAGGCACACGACCCCAGAGAAGTTCTACATCGAGGCCTGTGATGAGGGGGCTGATGCTGTGCTGGCCATCGACAGGGTCTCCAATGAGATGACCCTCACAGGTAAGAAGTTTAATGATCGTGCTTCACTGTCACTACAAACACAAAATGCTTTCAGCTGTGGTTGAAACACAAGCAGAGAGATTTAGAGCTCTCACCACCTTTTACATTTGAGGCTGTTGAGCTTTGTTGTCTCTCTCTCCACATGTGTTTAAGATAAGATAAGATAGTACTTTATTGATCCCAAATTGGGAAATTGTTTGTTTGTTTGCTAGACATGCCATTGTTTTGTTTCTCACAATACATCAGAACAATTGACCTTACAGCTAGACATCATTTGGGACAGCTTTAAGAACAAAGAAGGTAACAACAAAGCGGAATGATCATCAACAGAATTCTCCTCAATAGAGATTCATTGATTCTTTGTTTACTCTTCAAAGAATCTCAAAGAACTATTTGGATAATCAATAAATCGGTTTGAGTAATTCTTTAAGAAAAAACTATTGAAAACATCTCTATTTACAGGTTCTTAAACTTGAATCTTTTCTGGTTTATTTACTCCTATGACTGTCAAATTCATATCTTCGAGTTGTGGACAAAACATAACATTTGAGGAGAGAAATCAGCCTATACTGTTTTTTTATCTGCATCAATCTGACTCACAGAGAAACTGAGAGAAACTCCCTCTGGAGGAACACAGGGATTTGAGCCTTTGCAGACCATTTACATGCACACAAACCTATATAACACACTACAGGAGAGGGGAAACTCAAAACAGTTCCCCTTCTGAGAATATAAATGTAATACGAAGTGTCTATATCTAACTTTCTCCCCATTGTGCTTCTTTCACAGGCAAAAAAGATGTCCCCCCCTCTGCGGTCACCAGGCCTATATGCGGCATCATGGGAACCATCCGTCTGGTAGCAGGTAGGTACCACAGTGATGCAGCGTTTGTGTTTCTTCTGAAGCCTGAACAGCTAACCAGTGACCCCCCCCACCCCCAGGGATGTACCTGATCGTCATCACCAGGAAGAGGAATGTGGGCAGCCTGCTGGGCCACTCTGTGTGGAAGGCTGTGGACTTTGACGTGATCTCCTACAAGAAGACAGTGCTGCATCTCTCAGAGATCCAGGTCAGCATCTGACAACCACTCATTAGAAAAGACACCTGTGATAAATTAGACACAGATTCACTTCAGACTAATGTTGGTTGTGGTGTTGGGAAAAGTTTTCTATATATGCATATAATCACATTTTACTAAAATAGTTCCTTTTAGTTCAACCTGAGCCCTCAATACAGAGGACATTATTTTCAGCTATTTTATGTGTCCCCAGTGTGTCAGGGAGCTCACCAAGTGTCAGAAAACACAACCCTCTCTCTTTTCCTCCATACCCAAATCTCTAAAAACGGGGCTGCAACGGAGCTGACACAGATTTGAAATTGTTCTGACGTCAGAAACAGGGAGCTCCGCCTATATGGGCAACTCTCCACCTATCAGGGGAATGGGGGGTTGGGCCACGGCCATTGCCGCTCGAAAGCGCTGGAGACGCTGTAGTACATATGCCAGGCCTGTAAGTGGCGCTGTAGTCTGCCACAAAAGCAGCGAAGAAGACTTCTCACAGAATCAGCCCTTGCTAAAACAGGGCTGGAAAAGAGCAAATGGAGCGAAATGAGGCATGGCTAAAATGCATGATCTGTTTGGTATTTTGAAAAAAAAACTTCACAGACATGTTTTATATAGGTATGGCCCTACAATATATTATTCAAATATAGCATGATAGGTCCACTTTAAATGATCTTACAATATCCTACGATAGTATGACATGCACACTGTCACAGGTACTGTTTGATAGTAGACTCTTCCAGACTCTCTGTGTAAAACCTTGTGTTACAGGATCAGTTATTCTTTGCTGTCTGGAATCACACTGTGCTATCGCATGTCAGTGCATTATTAATCTGCTGCTGCTTCTAATCTTGGTTTATTGAAAGCTTTCTAGCTACCCCGATAAAACTCTGTATTACATGCACTGTATGCAGTGTAGAGCTTATAATGGCAAACACTGGACTGTTGGTGGTAGTAGATTAGAGAAGCAAGTACAAACTAGTTTAAAGCGCAATCACTGTATAAGAGCTGCTCTGGTGAGAGGAATGTAAGAAAGCAGGTGGAGGGAGTTAAACATGCTAACTGGCTTAGCTGCCCGATCCTATTAGCCAGGCAGAGATGCACAAAGCTGGAAAAGAATAAAAGTCAGCTCTGATGCTGACTGATGCAAATCAGGCCCTTGGTGGATTTAATTTCGGCCCGCAGGATAATTTCTAATTACTATTAGATCTGGCCCGCCGGTATATTGCACGCACACCTTCACTCAATCCTGAGGGTCTCCTCAGCTCAGAGCCTGACCCCAAACATTGATGAACTTGCACCCAAGATGAGATGCCAAGTATCTGGCTTGAACTAGCATTACAGAGCAGCACACTGAGTTTACATGGATGTTTCCTTCTGCACGTTTTCTCTCACGACAACAGGGCATGTTTGGTTTTCTCTTTGAGGGACATTTTTTGAAGCTGTTGTTGGCCTGTGGAAAAATGTAATCATAAGAAATGACTCTGGAAAAGCTGCAGATAGAGCCATAAGAAATGAATGCAACTGATTATTTAATGTTTAATGTTTTTATTGGCAATCATTTAAGCTTTGTTAGTTCCAGGTTTAATATGTGCAATAAGTTCATTTCAATAAGTTCTGCAATAAACATTGAACCAGTCCGGCCCTCGACTAGTACCCATTTTTTTATTTTGGCCCACTGTGTATTTGAGTTTGACACCCCTGTTCTAATGGCACCCACACTTAACAGGTTTATCCCTCAACAGTAGCTACTTTCAACTTGATGTTTTATCTGTAAGTAATCCGGTTATTGTGCAAAAGCAGTCCTAGGCTTCATGTTAACTGGCGAAGGTGGTCCAATGCATTGACGTTTACAGATTTGAATGTGCGTAAAGAGAAAGCTGGTCTTGGCATTGGCTAGAGGTGTTGGGGGAGAAACTGTTAGGTGGGTGCATCCCTGTGTCACACGGCAGCAGTAAAAACACACGAGTGTGCAGTTTTCCTGAAAGCTAAAAGTCTGTTTCCTTTCCTCCTCCAGTCTCAGGAGAACAAGACCTTCCTGTCCATGATTAATAATGTGCTGACTACAGACGGCTTCTACTTCTGCACCGACTACGACCTGACACACACACTGCAGAGGCTCTCCAACACCAGCCCCGACTTCCAGGAGATGAGTCTGCTGGAGAGGGTGAGACACACAACACACTGCCTCACAGAAGGCACCTCTATATTTATGTAAATAAGTCACAAAGACTGATATTTCAAAAATAAGACCTAGTATAATACTTGAGTAGATGTACTTTAGTTACTTTCTATTCCTGACTTTACATGATCACTCACCTCAATGGCATTAACAAGATGGACTCCAGTTAAAGAGGCCCTTTTATGCTTTTTGGGGTGTTCCCTTCCCTGTAGTGTGTTCTATAGGTTTGTGTGCATGTAAATGGTCCCCCCCTGCCTGAAACTCTTTTGTTTACTACCGTAACGTAGTACATCACATTAGAGCACTCGTGATTCTATTGGCTAGCGCTCCAACACATTGTATGTGATAGGCTAAGGGGCGGGAGATCTCTAATGGCGCATGTCCACTGCAGGGCCTCGCTCGGCTTAGTACGGTATGGCTAGGCCTCGTTAGGCCTTGTTAGGCCAGGCTCACTTTATGTTGCGTTTCCATTACAGTTTAGTAGCTGGGGTAGTAACTATAGTAACGCAGTGTAGGCGGAGCCGTGACGCCATCTTCAATGCGAAACACAAAACCAACATCAGCCGTTAGCTGTTAGCACTCAGAGCTCACAGCTCCTCATATCTGTTCAGAAACTAGACACAAGTTAAACAAGTACAAACCACAGACTGCCTGTGTCATGGTGAATACAGTCGCTGCTTTATTTATGTCTGTATAGGCCGTTGTTGTGAGTGTGGACGGTCGGAGCATATACTGCGTTAGCTTAGCCAATCTCCATTTAGACAACACGCATTTTAAAAGGTTTTTCGCCTGCCCTCTGTCTGCAGACTTGACAAAGCATTAATTCATGGTTTTTACTAACCGGTATCAGTATGTTGTTACTTCGGCATCATTTTGAAACGTGCATTACAATTAAATCACGGTCAAATATGTTCATTTTGTTGTAGTTGCCAGCGATTCTCTCACTAGTTTAGCATATTCAGCCCGGTTGTTGGCCCGGAAAGAACCTCGATTTTGGAGAGCCAGAAAAACTGTGAAAAAGTACCCGCTAGCCGGAACTACGCCTAGTGGAAACGCAACCAAAAATGGGCCGGGCCGGGCACGGCACGGCACGGCACGGCACGCTTAAACCGCGCTCCGCGCTGTAGTGGAAATGCGCCATAAGTGGTTGACCAATCCCAGCAGAGCCGGCCAGCTAACCAATCAAGATGAACCTGAAACCTGAAGATTTTCATCGTCATAACTTCACTGTAGCTATGTTCGTATTACAAAATAAGAACCTTGAACCTTAAAGGGCCCGTTAATATAAACTATAGTCTTAATCTTATTACTCAGTATTTGTGTGCATGCATTGAAACATTCATTCTGTATTTCCAGAAGTGTTTATTTCTTATCTTTAATTTGACTTTAAACTGTTATGTTCATTTTGCACTAAAGCTTTCAAAAATATTGTACATTTGTCTCACTTCCTCATACTTTTAGTGTTTTTTGTCTTTTCTAGCGATATGTCAATAATAAATATAGTTGTTTTTGTTTACAAACATTGCAGCAGGTCATAATGTAGAGCATTTTTCTATGTATACTTTTTTTCAAACATATACGTGAACGTGACAATACATTTGTTTATTTTCATATTATTCACAATTCTTAGTAATTATAAATATTACTATACATTCTTGCAGTTAATTGATGACGATGTTGTGTTTCTCAGGCAGATCAGAGGTTTGTGTGGAACGGGAACCTCCTGAGAGAACTGGCTGCGCAGCCTGAGGTACCACTTCACTTTCTCACTCAATGTTTTTGTACTCATTTAATGCAATGATAATAATCGTACCCACTTCTCCACAGCTTCACAAGTTTGCACTTCCTGTTGTCCATGGATGTATCCTTTTCACTGAGTGTTAAACATTTTCTAATGGAGCATGACTGCAGATAAGATCAGACGCATACCTGTGCCAAGCCTTTCCTTAACCCTCCTGTTCCAGTCATCGTCATGAAGCCGTGTCGAATCAACGGGAAGATCTTCGAGTGGATCCTCATCTCCAGGAGAAGCTGCTTCCGGGCCGGCGTCAGATACTACGTCAGAGGTAAAAATGTCTGCTGTACTGCACCAAGCCTTGTGGATTTGGGCTTATGGACCATTACAGAGTGCAAAGTAACAGCTGCCAACACCATTTCATTAACAGTATGAAGACTCAGGCCCAATTCCAATCCATCCCCTAGGGCAGGGGTCGGCAACCCCTGGCACGCGTGCCAGCATTGGCACGCGGCACCGTAACCAGTGGCACACTAGGAATAAGTGGAATAAGTGTGCAAAATATTTAAATGTTATTTTCGGATCCTGAACGAGACCGCCGCCAGAGCGCGTCTCCCCGTTACCTGCAGAAGGAAGCCATGCACGCAGCGCAGCCCCGCTCTGTTTAACTCCAGGTGACTTTCTGCCGCTTTCCTCCGTGGTGCAGGGCTGATCGTTTCACCACAGAGGAAAGCACTTCACAAATTGCAGTACCCATAAGGAGCTGTACAAATGCCGCAGTTTTTGCGTGGCTGTGTCTTTAGTTGAAAGCCCAGTGGCGATCTGCTCATCTCTCATTGAAATAATATGCTACAAAGGGGCGGACTGGCCATCTGTGTGTTGAACTTTCCTGTCGGCTCCCAGACCGTAGTCGAGGAGGGCAGAAGCAACAAGCTTCAGGTTCAATAACCCACTTTAGCTTAAATGACTGGAGAGAGGCGAGCTCTTCTTGGGAGGCCGTTGCCGATCTCATCTCACTCTGCATGACCCTAATATCATAACATGTGTGTTTCGGAGAATCACAGAACGGACGATCGTCCTTATTATTATGCCGTTTAAACCAATTATTTAAATGTGTTTGTTAAATTCGGCATCATGTAAGTTGTGCTTGTGTTGTGTTATTTTAAGTCGGCATCTCTTGGATGAAAAATAATAATTTAATTCAAAATAGTGGCGTTTCTTTTTGTAGTTTTTAAATCTGATGTTTATGAGCTGCTTCTAGATTGCAAAAGTTCCTGTAAATATACAAAACTTCACAATAAACTTCTATTGTTTTTCCTTCTGAAGGGTTTAATAACTTCCTGTTGGAGGGTGTAATAACTTCCTGTTGGAGGGTGTAATAACTTCCTGTTGGAGGGTGTAATAACTTCCTGTTGGAGGGTGTAATAACTTCCTGTTGGAGGGTGTAATAACTTCCTGTTGGAGGGTGTAATAACTTCCTGTTGGAGGGTGTAATAACTTCCTGTTGGAGGGTGTAATAACTTTCTGTTTTGAGGGTTTAATTATTTCCTGTAGGAAGGTTTAACAACCTCCGCTTAAAAGGTATAACGACTTCCTGTCTGAGGGTGTAACGACTTACTGTCTGAGGGTGTAACGACTTCCTGTCTGAGGGTGTAACGACTTCCTGTCTGAGGGTGTAACGACTTCCTGTCTGAGGGTGTAACGACTTCCTGTCTGAGGGTGTAACGACTTCCTGTCTGAGGGTGTAACGACTTCCTGTCTGAGGGTGTAACGACTTCCTGTCGGAGGGTGTAAAGACTTCCTGTCGGAGGGTTTAATGACTTCCTGTTGAAGGAGGGTTTAATAACTTTCTGTCATTGGGCGTAATACATTCCTGTCCGAGGTTTTAATAACTTCCGTTTGGAGGTTTTAATAACTTCCTGTCGGCGGGCGTAATATCTTCCGGTTGGAGGGTGTAATAACTCAAACTCCCAACTAGTTGGTTTGAAATGGAACCCTAATGTGTAAACGTAGTAATAGGGAGAGGGTGTTGGGGCTAGATTGGAATTGAGCTATCTAAGGTAAGGTTATACACCTCACAGTACTGAGACTACTAACTGCTCATGGATGTTTTCTGTGCTGCTCTCTCTCAGGCATCGACTCTGAGGGCCACGCTGCTAACTTTGTGGAGACGGAGCAGATCGTTTTGTATGAGGGAGCAAAGGCTTCATTTATACAGGCAAGTATGAGGGCTCATAAACACACATTTCTGTGCACCCTTTGTTCGGATATTTAAAGAAGTTGAGAAGATTTCAGAAATGACCTTTCAAGGCAAACGTTTTTTTTCCTCTCCAGACTCGAGGCTCCATGCCCTTCTACTGGAGTCAGAGGCCCAACCTGAAATACAAACCTAAACCTATAATCAGCAAAACCACTAATCACGTAAGAGCAGCTGTTTTCATGTGTGCTTTTTAAATGGTGTGGTGGGAAAAATCCAATGCTAAACTCTTGAAAACTTTGTACAGATGGATGGTTTCCAGAGGCATTTCGACTCTCAGCTGCTTATCTATGGGAAGCAAACCCTTCTGAACCTGGTGAGGATAGTTAATAACCTGTATACATGTTTTGTTTAAGGTCTTCACTCCATCCCTCCCCATTACAGACCTGTGGTAGGATAAAAGAAAACCACATGCTGTGCTTTAGAATCTAAAACATGGGGATTGAATAGTGAGAACTTCTGTTCTGAAAACTGTTTAGAAACCCTCTTTTTGTCGTTAAATCTAGTAAAAGCTTTGCATCCCCTGAATGCCCGCAGGCTGTAGTTTGTGGCTGTAAAATGTCATGAGGCTATAACTATCGTAGAGCCCACAACTGCTCATGTTACGCAGCGAGGTCAGGTTTCTCACTACTACAGAGACTAATGTCATCACACATGAATACAAATTGTGCTCATTGATCCACAAAAGTTTCATTTTCCTATTGATACCCAGTTTGTGCAATTTAAGATGCAGGAGTATTCTAAAACAACATATTTATACTGCATGTGAACATTTTTTCAATTAGATATCTTGAGGTGAGCTGTTAAGAGGACCCTGTAAATATGGCCATGCTAGTTGTTCCCACGCTAAAATGTAGCCTTCATTTGGAGCGTTATTTAGCCTTCTTTGCGACAAGCTGACACAACATGATCATGCACTTTCAGATGATACCAGCAGCTTTTAAATCAAAGACTGTAGCAGACATTAATGCCCTAGCAGAGTGGAAGAGGCCAATTTGTGTTTTCTTGTTTTTTGCAGGTGAATCAGAAAGGCTCAGAGAAGCCTCTAGAACAGGCCTTTGATAAGATGGTGTCTGGCATGAACAACGGTATGCTCAAGTAAGTGTCACCAGTAAGGTATTATGTACCGTATATCTGTGTAAACATGCAGCAGGTCAGTATTTCTCACTGCCCCTGAACTGCACTTTGTACTGCTTTTCTTCTGTGTGCAGAAAGAGAGAGATGTGCTGACACACAGGGACAGCTCATACTTTCCTCCCAGCACCAATGTGTATACATTTAAAAATACTAAAACAGACTTATTAAGATTATTTGAGAGGCAGCTTTGTGTTTGTTTCACTTTGAATTAGATTGACTTATGTCTAATTGTGTATCCTTTCATCCTCCTACTTCACTGATAATTCCCCCGAGGGCAGAAATCAGCTGAATGCAGAGAGCTGACTGAAAAGCAGTTCCTTTTGTAGATGTTAAAAAAAACCTGCTGCTTATATTGCGATCCAGGAGGTAATATAAAAGATCAACATAAACTTCCTCCATTCAATAAGTAACCACAAGAGCTTGGGGTCAAACAACTTTACCGCTTCCCATCGATCATACGCTGTGTCCACATTGTCCCTGTCCATTAGACATGCATGTCATATCCTGCCTCATTGAAGCCACAGCACATATTCATTGCAGAAAGACTTAAAGGTCACCTATTGTGAAACGGGGGCTGAAACAGAGGGGATTATGGGATGCTACAATGCATGATCTGTTTGGTATTTCGTGCCAAACACTTCAGAGACATGTTTTGTATATATCTGAGACCTATAATATATTGATGAAAAACAGTATAATAGGGGACCTTTAAATACATTATATCTAACATTTAGCTCTGCTTGGGAACTGCATCTATTTCTGCCACCTCTGTAACAATGAAGCGCTGCCCGATCAAACAAAGTTTAGACATCCGGTTGTGACCTGAGGACAGCACTTTGACCCTGTCTCCTCTGTCCTCAGCTATATAGCCTTCGACTTCCACAAGGAGTGCAGCGCCATGAGATGGGAGCGTCTGCAGATCTTAGTGGACCTTGTTGCTGAGACACAAGATGAATACAGGTAGGTTCAGCCGCTGCTCCGGCCTGATGTCTCCTCTCGTATACTGTGTAGTTATATTCCATGGTTTCTGTGTGTGCAGTTACTTCATGGTGACCTCGGAGGGGAAGACGGTGGCCCAGCAGAGAGGAGTGTTCCGCAGCAACTGCATGGACTGCCTGGACCGCACCAACGTGATCCAGAGCCTGCTGGCCCGCCGCTCCCTGCAGTCTCAGCTGCAGGTGGGTCTGACCCCACACATTCATTCATCAGAATCACAAATCCTTTATTTGTCCCACAGTTAGGGAAGTTTACGGCATTACAGCAGCAACGCTTCAGTGCAGAGTCAAGTGGAACAAGTAGACTTTTTATTAAAAGGCAGACACATGTTAATAAGAATTAAAATGTACAGCATGGTAAAAAAAATGAAGTACCAGTAAAATGATATATATATTTTTTTTTTCACTAAAATAAGAGCAAATAATTAACTGTGATAACATGGCACAATATATTCAACTACATTTTAGTCTCAAACTGTCAGGGTTAGGAGGGGTGACTGAAAAGTGTAATCTGTTACAGTTACTAGTTACCTGTAAAACATTTAAGCGGTAGCCTAATCTGAGTATACCAATATAAAAGTAATGTAACCTGATTACTTTCCGTTCCTTTGGGGTTACTTCAAAATCAAATCCAATGCAAATAAATAAAATATAAATAAATATCAATAAGATGTTTTTTAGTGTAACATGTCAGACAACAGAACGATGTGACCTTAGAAAGAAGAAACCAAGATATTTAGGATCAGAAATGATCTTATGTATATGAAAAGCTGCCTGTCACTCAGCAGATTCAAGCAGCAGCCTGTACACCAACACTGACACACATGAGCACATACTACAGTTTCAAAAAGCAGAAATCAAATCTGAGCTGACAGAAAATGCTCCGTTTTACTTTAATACACACAGTTAAGCTCACACACACTATTTTATGAACATACAGGTTCACCTGCTGAATTAAAAACAGAACAAATGAACAAAGGAAGTGAAAACCATAAAGCAGATTCAGGCAGTAGACGTATAGATTCACACATAAAGTATTATCCTACAGAACAGAACAGTTTAGAAGAGATAACATCTGATCCTTTACAACAAACACTAGATGCTCTTTTTAGGACACTGTAATCCTGCTAGTTATCAACTATTTTTAGAAATGTTACAGTAATCTGATTACATATGTTTTATGTAACTGTAAGGGAACACGGTTACCTTTTTTTGTATCCTGATTACGGTACATGTAATCCGTTACTCCCCATTTCATTTTCATGTAATGGTTTATTTGGCAGGGACAATGCACAGTGATGAACACTTAAAACATTCAAATGTATCAAGCGTAACAGTGCCACATTTAGCTTTGAGCTCATTTCCATCCGCAGTCCCTCATAAAACATTTAAGAAGATTACATTTTACAAACATTGCAAAAACCAAATGGATGATATGCAAAAGAGCATGAGCAGCATACACAAGCATTTACCACATGGCAGTACACTATAGCAGCTACGACATGTAAGGTACAAGAGAAGATACAAGAGCTACATAAAGTGCAAGAGGAGATGCCCCTGTGATAAAGTGCATTTAGCGGTGATTACATGTCTGTTTGTTTCTCAAACATTCTTTGAGTTGACCTTTGAAACTATTGAGAGTGGGACAATCCCGTATCTCAGTAGGGAGGCTGTTCCACAAAGAGCTGCCTTTAACGGAGAGGACATTTTGTCCAAAAGTGGTCCGTCTGCAGTGGACCTCACAGTCTCCTCTGGTTTCTGACCTAGTGCAGCGTCCAGTGTGTTTTCTGTGGATGAATTCCCCTAAGGGGGGGGGGGGGGGGGGGGGGGGGCTGTCCATGTAAACATTTATAAATAAAGCACATACTTTTAAAAGACTTAAAATGGTCAACTCAATACATTGTGTTTGTCAAGGATGGTACAGTGGTGGTATGAATGTGGCTTTCTGTCAAACACCTTGATAGCTCTCTTGTACAGCTGTTCTATGGGTTTCAGGTTTGTGGCACAAGCAAACGACCAGTTTGTCAAACAGTATTCAATGTGGGATAGAATCATACAGTGGAGGTATGACTTTGCAGCACTGACAGTTAAGAAGGGTTAACCCGTGTGTGTTTTGTGTGTGTGTGCAGAGGATGGGCGTCCTGAATGTGGGTCAGCGGATTGAGGAGCAGGCTGAGTTTGAGAAGATCTACAAGAACGGTAATGTCTCGTGAGTGTGTGTTGTGTGATGATCTGAAGCCTGTGAGTGTGTGCTCACTGTTCTCTGTGTGTGCTCTCTAACCAGCATGGGCTGACAATGCCAATGCATGCGCTGTACAGTACGCAGGGACCGGAGCTCTGAAAACAGACTTCACCAGGTACAGTAACCCTGCAGCACACGGCTCACTAACATGTGCTGGCTCTCTGGAGGCTGGTGTCATGACTGGGCTCAATCAAACTTCATTTTCCCATCAGGACGGGGAAGAGGACCAGGCTGGGGCTGCTGATGGACGGCTGGAACTCCATGATCCGCTACTACAAGAACAACTTCTCTGATGGATTCAGACAGGTGTGATGAAAGCTCCATTGTTTAAATCATATTGTCCAGACATTTGTAGTAGACTGAACTAATACAAACGTCCTTGAATTTGGCGTTGAATGAGATTAAATTAGACTAAATGTTAAATGTATTGTTTTTATAAAGCACTTTATCCCGTCTTTAGGACTCTTTTGCACAAAACAAGTCAGCATTCACCTTATCACACACATTCATCTAGAGGCTGTCATACAAGGTGCAGCTGCTCAAGAAAACTGACATTTTCTCACACACACACACACACACACACACACACACACACACACACACACACACACACACACACACACACACACACACACACACACACACACACACACACAGTCAGATTAGATACAATTAACAATCCCAAATTGAGAAATTAAAAATATACAAAATAAATGTAATATAAAATTATGTTATATAATACAAGTTAAAGATATAATAAAATATATTGAAAAACGTATCCAAGCTACAATTCATTGTTTTAACTTGATTGAAATGCAATGAGGTAGAGGTAGAGGTTTCATATTCACCATTTCAAAGAAGCCAGTGTGTTGATCAGTTCCCTCGTGATGTTTTTGCTTCCAGGACTCCATTGACCTCTTTCTGGGTAACTTTGCTGTGGATGAGTCTGATGGACCCACTCCTCTCCGTGTGCAGAAGGACTGGAAGTTCCTCACGGTCAGTATATCAGCTTTTCTCTCTTCAGCAGTGAACATTACTGTGGTTCTTATCCTCTAATCCCTGCTCTCTTACAGCTGCCCATCGTCATGCTGGTGGCCTTCTCCATGTGCATCGTCTGTCTGCTCATGGCGGGTAAGTTCCTCTCACTCATATCATCTGAATCAATTCAACTATAGCTGCAGGCAGTTTGTGATGTATTGACCTAAACACTATTGGCTAGTTGATGATGCGTACATTGATATGAACTACATATCTTTATTTAGCTATTGAATTATAAAAACTATTAAATCGCACTAGAATATTATAATTTTTCACTTAAAGCCTTGTAAACATTTAATCACCATGACCTAAATAAAATGAAATCTGAAAAGTGAAGATTATTAGTTTTGCCTCACCTCTACATAAAAGGACCTAGATCCATAGAGCATGGACACTAGTGTTTTCTTAAAGCTCTGGTCTAATTGGCTCCGTCACATCTGGTCTCAGCTTGTGAACTGAATGGAGAGGGATATAACTTGCTTACAGGCTCACTTTCTGGGGGCTTGGGTAGTACAGCAAGAATCAGTCTGTTCCTGGAGGTGGTGAACTTTTGACAGATGCACCAATGATGAGAGGCATCGTCAACTGTATCCCATTGGCTGCTAGAGGTTTACGTTTGTTTTACTATAACCTTGAGTTTTGTCTAAGATCTCCTAAAGATTAAAGCTGGAATCTGATGTTTCCTGATCAGAAAGATGACTTACAACTTAATGCCCTTGTGATTTTAAATAAGGGTTATTCAAGTGTTCAGACTGTGAAGTCAATTTACCTCATTTACAGAAGTGCCTTTCTCAATGGCAAAGTCTACAGGAAAATATATGTTTGGGCCCCATGACATCACGTGACGGACACGGAAGTTGCAATACCACAATTTGGTCTCTCAGAAAATGTGCTTTAACACCCGGCACACTTCCTTTCAGCTAAAGATCTTTCCCTGATTGTGTTTTTGGTAAGCAGACTAACTGAGTTATTTGTCTCCCAGGCGACACATGGACAGAGACCCTGGCCTACGTGATGTTCTGGGGGGCTGCCAGCGCCATCACAGCCACCATCATCCTGTTTAACGGCCAAGACTTTGTGGACTCCCCTAAACTGGTTCACAAGGAGAAGCTGGACTGACTGAGTGTGTGTGAGTGTGTGTGTGTGTGTGAGGAGTATCTGGGCTCAGCAGGTTCACATAGCTCTCAATGTCCACCGTCTCCTGATCTGCTGCCTCCTTACTGCCCTCCAGACTTTCTCCTTCAGAACCTTTCTCTGCCATTTGTCTACAACATGTTTCCCTCCTGCAGTGGGACTGACACTCTCCTTCACTCAGCCCACATCTCTTACATTCCTCATACTGGATCGTTACGTTGGTTTTGTCTGCGCTAGGTTTACAGTTTTGTCTGTCGGTCCACTCCAAAACTAATTATTTTAACACTACTCACAATTTTCTTATTTGTTTACGTTTCTTAGGTTTAAATCTGTATAAATGTCATAATAAGCATTTTCAATTCTGCATAAGGACACCCATTTGAGGTTAAAGGTGTTTTCAGTGATTCTAAATCCATGTACAGTAAGGTTTTTGGAGCTATGCTGGAACTACATGACGTCCGCAAACTCTACATACTAATGAATATGATGCAGGTTGTCAGATGATCCAGTTTTAATATTGATTAATGCATCTTTAAAGATACAAAAAATGTCCCTCAATAATGATTTATGAATGTCAATTAACCCCAGTCAGTCCCTCTCTGAGCACTTAAACATTATTGAAAAGTATATGTTGTCTGTAACTGATGAGTCTATACAGAATGCCTGTTAGAGTTTTGAATGTAACAAGCCTTACCAACTTGCATATGAAGTATAAATGTGTGACTAATACATGTGTTACTGGGGTGAACCAATGTCTTCCTGTCAAGCTAACATGGGACAGTATTTATTGTGATGTTGCACTTTGACATGTACTCATGTGTGTTGTTGTTCCAGACCCCTGCATCTCGGCGCACATTTTCTATTTGTTTTCCGGGATAGAAATAGGTCTGGTTGGTCCTTGTTCAGGTTTTTTTGTTACTGTGGAAGAAACATTTGTATAGCTCTCTCTGTAAGATTAACAGACAACACCATGTGTTTATGGAGGCATAGAGCTACGTCAAAAGATTCACCAACCACCACCAGACATTCAGAAACTTTTAAATACAGTAGTTCTGCTGTCGATACAGTGGTGCAGTGATGACCTATTTGTGTTGGCCGGACCGGAAGATAGCATCGCAAGAGCTACCTTGCATTTGATTTTGGAACATTGAAAAAAATGTATATCTTTGGCAAACACACATTTATGATACACGTTTTGTTTAGCAGGATAATCTACACATATAACACCACTTTGGTTTTTAAGTGTTAATGCAATAACTGGCCATAAGAAAACTAGCGCTAGGCAATAAACTAAATGACAGTCACATGACTGCACTACATCACCTCTACGCTAAAGGTTACTAATGTCCACTGGGATAGTGTTAAGTAGAGAAATGTAGACAGATAGAAGCTTCAGCCATTTACCAGTGGGGTATTTACTGATGTATTTTATGTCATAGAACAAAACATGAAAATCTGTTCAGCTTGTGTTAACCACAGACCTTATTTGAGATATCAAATTGAGGTAACCAAAAACGCATACAAAAAAACGTACTTTGAGACAATGGAAGTGGAAGTGCTAAAAATGTTGACACATTTCCGAGTTTTAGGGTTCATCCTGTACCACACCAGACCTGTTTGAGTCTCATAACAAATGGCCGATGCTAGCAGTCAGTCAAAGATCTGGAACCAGGCTCAGTTGTTTCTAGAAACAAATGAGCCTGCAGCAGTTTTTAGTGGAATATGTTTAGCTGTTTATCTCCTTGGGTTGATCTATGGCTCCATGCTTTGCTGTGTAACATCACAGTCTTCACATTGTGGCTTTATTCTACTGTTATCTCCAGATATCAGATGTAGTGTTGTTATCGAGACTTAAATGTTTAATTATGTCGAGCTCAAATAAATTAAATTGGTATCTCAGACTTTAGGCATATAAGCATCAACATGGCTCTCCAATTGTTTGTTAATGTTTTCATTATTCAGTTTCCCAAATCCAGCCTTCCATACCTGCCCATCAGTGGAAAGACATTTGAATTGACATTTAAAAATACAATTTGGCTTCTGGTGTTACTATAAATGCCTTTACCAATCAAATGTTGGTCACATATGCAAGTGGCTAGCGGATTAGCATCACTCACCAGGCAAAAGACAATTTGAAAATAAAGATGTCTCAAGCCAGTGGACAAAAAGTACATTTTGCTTTCGGGTTGACTGTGTAGTTAGAGAATTGATCACCATGCCTTTGTAGTCTCTATGATTTCACATGGAAGCTGTGTGGTGTTAGTTTTTGATGATGTGTTTAGGGTCCCTCCAAACATTATGTATCAGATCATACCAACGCTTAGTACACGCCACACGGTGATATTCAGTCTATAGTCAAATGTTTAATTTACTCGTCATGCTAGCTTTTAAAGAGGTCATCTAATCTTGATCAGAAATCTGTGTAACGTGTGCAGTGTGGGTGAAACTGTCATGGACATATCTTTGTAATTCCTGTACATTTTAAATGTATTTACAGATGTGATACGGCATCATTTGTGAGTGGTTTTATCTGGACATATAAAGTGTGTTTGGACATTGTATCATTATATGAATTAAAAGATGAATTAGTGTCCATCACACTGTTCAAGGTTCAACATGTTATTGATTTGGTTTTTTGGCTGTGAGTTTTGTTTATGTTGTAAACAATATAATGGGGCCAATGACATAAAACGTGCTTCATGAAGGTGTTTTATGAGATGACTGGCAAACATTACTACAACACGTATTCATTTGGAACCAGGGGACACTAATGCCACTTTCAGGTTTTTTCTGGGATTATTTGTTAGCAATGTTTAAGGAGTTAGTTCTTCATGTAAGGAAATAATGAAATCAAATATTCAGTCTAAACTGAGCAATTTAAATATCTGTTGAACTTTCTATCATTAATAAATGGGTTTAAGGTATATGTCACACAAACAGATATATTTGTACAGTTTGCAAACCGTGTTGCAGTACAGCTGGTGTTGGTGTTTATGTCTGAAGGTTGCCCATTACTGTCATATATTAGGAACATTGGGATTGTATCATTTTAAAGCCCTCAGAGTCACTGATTGACTTTCTGTCAGAACATGTCAATGATTGAGTGTTTGTGCTCTTCAGTGATCTGCTTCCAAAGCACGCTTCATCCCGTGGTTTCTGTAACTGTCAATAAACTCCAGTGAAAAGACATTACCTTAATGTCACCTTTACTCTGTTGCCTTTTTTGTATTTGATGCTCAATTGTATTGTGTAATACTGAAAAGTGTATACATCTTTGTGCATGAGTGTTTTCCATTTGACTTCTGATATAACATGAAGGATTCAGTATTTCCAAATCAGTTGTGTATATACAGTACCTTGTATATATTTTTTGTGAACATTTACAAAAAATGTAGTTGCATGCTAAATGAAAAGAGACAGGCGCACACACAAGGCAACAATTCATTAGTCTTTAGACAGGTTTCAAATATTAGCATAATGCTGTACAAAATACATTATTAAGGTACCGTAATATCTCAGGAGTACAAGAGTGTATAATTAAAGAGGGGAGAGTTTATAGTTCTATGCTACTTCATAAATGAATAGATGAACAGGAGCTTCAGCTGCATGTTGAAAGAAGAAGCAGGAAATATCCATATGGTTATATTCTGCAACATTCTGCACCACTGGTGCTTTCTTTCTTTCTTTTTAGCATTGAAAAATAAAGAATAATCACAAACTAAAATGCAGACCAATCTAACCTTGTAATCATTTTAGGAAAACAAATGAATATTGTGTTACAGACAAACCAAGTGAAGATGAAAAGGCATTTATCATCAAAGATATCAGTTTTAAGTGTTTCAGTTTCCATTATTTTAATAGCATTTTTACAAAGACATTTATTTAAAGGTTTATATTAAAATGTGGATTCTTCACATTGTAAAAACTATGTGCAGTGTTGAAAGTAATTATGAACATTTACTCCAGGCCTACTGTACTTTTACTTGTGTCAAGTACATTTGACAGCTAATATCTGATTACTTTTACTCAAGTAGGATTTGAAATGCTTACTTGTAACAAAGTGTTCCTACATTCATTGTTGTATTAGTACTTTTAGAAATGGTGTACCTTTGTTTAACTGTTTTCTTTCTCAGACCAGTAAACCTGCCTTTTTTTTGTTTATCTTATTTTACTATATTTATTTGTTTGCCTGTCCTTGTTTGTCTACCCTCCCTCATACTGTAAAGCGTCTTTGAGTTGTGAAAAGCGCTATATAAATAAAATGTATTATTATTATTATTATTATTAAACACACAGCGCTAACTGTTGACGCAAAAACGTAACCAGGACGTTGGAGTGACGTCAGCACGTACTGTTGTTGTACTTCCTGCTTCACTTCTCTGCTGCGTAATTTAGCATGTGCAGCCCTGACTTCTGCTGCTTTATTTAAAACTCTAATTTCACATTATAATATTAACCTCTTCGGCGGCAGGATGAGCACGTTATGGATGGGGAACGTGAGTACTTTACAACTTTATACTACGGTTAATAATTTAATGTGACCACCGTGTTAGCTACGTTACGTACGTTGTATGGATGTGATACAAAACTCCTTCAAGAAAACCAGCAGATAATATCGCTTGTTTGTGGATTAACCCCTTGTATGAAGTAGCTGGGCTAACGTTAGGGTTTAGTGTTGGTTAACCGCTCACACTAACTTAATGCAACACGTAGCTCTCAGCAGAAAGGCCCACCGGGACTAATGTCATGTTAATGGAGTGTCCATTTAGGCCAGATTAGACCAGGTTTACATGAATTGTTATATTAGTCAAACCTGGACTAGGTTACCAGAGACACTGTTTTAAACCCTCAGTCTGATATTGTGTGGATGTAGGAAAATGTATTTCTTTTTTAATCTCTAATTTATGAAGCAAAGCAAGTCATTCACTTTTCCACGGCACTGTCCTGCAAATATCTCAGAATAAAAGCTTTGTATTATCAAATGAAGGGAATTTCTCTGCGGACAATTTAAGAACGACTTTTATTTTTAACAGGAAGTTATTGTGTACATTTTTACTTTTTTAATGTCTGACATATTCTACAGATATAGACAGTTAAACTGTAACAATGTTGCCGCTTTGATGTCAGTATTACAATTGCAATTATTATGACCAATTTTACAGTCACGATAATGGAGCCAATTATAGCAATTATAATTCTCATTATCAGGAGATAATAAAGTAAATAATTATGGTTTGTTTAAAAAATAAAATAATGCATAGAATCTGTGCCTGCTTTCAAGTCCATAGAATAAATGTATATGATTTAATATCTCTGCAGCTCCACAATACTTTTTTAAACACATTTATTTCAACAAATAACCATGGCCACCACATGTTTCACCAGTTTAAGTGACCTTAATGGATCTCCTAACTTCTTTAATGTTTCCCTGCGGCTGTGTAGCTGGAGACCTACATGGATGAGAAGTTCATCACCAGATCTTTCTCCACCATGGGGGAGCAGGTGGTGAACGTGCGCATCATACGCAACAAGATGACTGGGTAAGAACTACATCTGTAGCAGTTGTCAGTTTTGGACGCGTTCTACTCTGACGTTAAACAGTGTGTCTTCACCCAGGGGGGCTCTGGGGTACTGCTTTGTGGAGATGACGGATGAGGCCACGGCTGAGAGGTGTCTCCGCAAAATCAACGGGAAAGCCTTACCGGGAGCCAATCCGGTATGTAGAGTGATCACACAGTAGCGATGCTTAGACTCCTGAGAAATGACATTGTAGACTTTAATATTTCATTAATATTTCTCTCTCACAGCCCACAAGATTCAAGCTAAACCGAGCCACCTTTGGGAAACAGGAGAGTGGGTGAGTTATAAAGCAGGAAATCAAAGATGACCTTTTTTTCAAAATGATTCCTTCTCTCGTTGACAAAAACCTGACCTCTGTTTTCCCTCGTGTTGCAGTCAGATGTATTCTCTGTTTGTTGGAGATCTGACTCCCGAAGTGGATGATGGGATGCTCTATGAGTACTTTTACAACCGCTACCCTTCCTGTCGGGGAGGAAAAGTGGTGCTGGACAGCATGGGCAACTCCAAGTGAGTATTAACATGTCCCCACGCTATATGGAGAAGATGTGTGTTTGTCCCAGGCTTGAAACTTCTTCCAATGGAGTAAACTAGTTCTATAAAAAGGTCTAACATTTCATACACTCAAGATTCCTTTTACAAGCTAATGATAACTTGATCCGTCCTTCCAATTGAGGTAACGTGCATCTTGGGTAGGGATGGGTATCGTTAAGGTTTTAACGGTACTACTACTTTTATCGATACCGCTTATCGATCCGGTCTTTTAACGGTACTTTTATCGGTTCTTTTGGAGAAAAAAATAAGGTAAAAATAAGGTGAACTAACTAAACTAATTGTGAACAAAACTAACATCGCTTTTTATTTAAATTAAATACATAATATTTCACATCAAAAGAAACAACAACGTTTTAACAAATCATATTAAATAATCTGATGACAGAACTGTGAACAGAATGGCTGAAACTTTAACAAACTAAATAACTCAGTTCCCTCTAATCATTAACCCATGTTTGAATCATTGAGTTAGCTCCGTGTGTTGCTGCTAGCATACATAACACCTGACGTGGAAACGTTACTCGTGGATGGGGCTACATAGCTACTAGAGAGACAGTCGAACCCGGTGCATTTCTCCGTCTGAACGTGGTGCACTTTTGCAAGATGTTTAGACAAATTGCTCGTGTTCCCGCCCTGACATGCTAAACTCTTATTGCACTTTAGGTAACGAGCATTGTCCACATCGAGACGGCTAAAGTTGAACCACACCTCGGAGCGTGTTCTCTCCGCCATCTCCTCCGTGTGTGTGTGTTGCTGCATGTAGCAGCTGCGTGTGTGTAAACTGCCGCGCCCCCTCGCACACAGGCGGGGGAGAGAGATCTCTCGTCTGGATTGGAAAGATCTAAAATACTAAAAACGCATTTTGCAGTCTTTTTGCGTATTAGAAACAGAGTTGGCGACACTAAAACTGCAATATAATGTTTGTGTAGCAATAATATATATGACGTATATGTTTTACATGTCTCCAGTACCGATAAAAAGACCGATAACGTCGGAGCTTAACGGTACCACGGTCTTTAATAATTCAGCCCCGGGGCCCGTTTAATACTGGGGCTCGGTACCCATCCCTAATCTTGGGATGTCATTATTTAAGGCTAGGACTAATAGTTTCCTCGAGAGTTATTTGTCGAGCTGCTGAGAGCAACCGAGGAATAGAGAAAACGTATAAAGGCCCCTATACGGTTCCAGGTTCCTGCTGTGCGGACTGAGGCTGGAAAAAGGAGTCTTTCTTATTATGGTCCTTGGTCTTGGAATGACCTTCAATCACGCCTCAAACTGAGGGCACTTGTCTCAATATCATGTTTTAAATTGAAGTTGTCTGAAGTCTTTACCACCAGCTGTAGTGTAACTTTCTTACTGTCCTAATGTGCACAATGTAGTGACTGCTTTTTCCTCTTTTGTTTCCTTAGTTATGTTCTCTGTATTTTATATGTTTGTGTTATGTGTTATGTGTTATGTGTAACGTTGCTGCCTTCTTGGCCAGGTCAGCATTGAAAATGAGATTTTATCTCAATGTTTTTATCTGGTTAAATTAAAAAAATTAAAAAATAATACACCAATCTGACACCAAAGAACACGTCCCGACGGACCCGATTGTTGTGTCGCCTCATGTCTCCTGCGTCTTGGCCAACAGTCGCACTGGAACACACCGCAAAGACTTCAGCCGACGGCCAAGTAGCACGTACGAACTGCGCATGCGTGAGTGGCAATAACTCTCCTTACCAGCAGGCGGCGGTGGTGTGTATTCGTCATTCAAAAGAGGCAACAACCGACAGGGGGTGTTTCTCAATGTCGAGTAAAGCTGCTCCAGAGCCACTATTTCAAGCCTACTATGTCAAGCATACTACGTCATCGAGTGCCGCCGAAGGACTGTTCCAATGTCCAGCATACTTGGAATTCTACCGAGCCCGGCGTACTTCGTTTGGAGAAATTTCGAGGCTGCACATGTGTAGACTCCGCGGTCTTAAAATCCCCACAATGCTTTGCGCACGGACCAATTTCCCCAAATCTGTGGCGGTAAATGTAAGGATTTCACAAAATATTGATACATGAAATATGCGAATAATGGAAAAGTCTA